ATAAAAGTTAATTGAATGATAAAATACTGAACGCCAATGTTAACAGCAACCTTATATCTCAATGTCTCCAGAGCTGAGCCGGATAGGAGCAGCCTGGTGAGGTAAGACTTTTACAGCCTGAGGGACGTGAAACTTATGGCCTTGGCTTATAAGGACACAACAAGGTCAGCATGTTGCCAAGCAGCATAGCTCACATTTATCTGTGTTTAATGGGGCATACTGTTGTGTGAGCAATGAGTTTGGAACATAGTGATTTCCTAAAAGTACCTTGTAATAAAATGTACCAGTGATTGACATTGGTTTATAAGGGAAAGATAAAGAGCTTCCTATTTGATGAGGTTATTGGAAAGCACCTTTGCTTTTCTCTGTTCCACACACAGGGAGTGATTTTCCACCTGTCCACTGACTCTACAGGCATTCTTTTGGGATGATGAAAGAAGGAAGACTCACAGCCACTTGGCACTTCAGCAAAAATTGTGCAACACTACATTATGGATATGCTTAAGGAAAAAAAAAGGTGTGGCGCGTGTTAGGACTTGTAAGGCGGAGATTTAAATCCCCGATATTATCTGAGGTTTTTTCCCTATAAAGTTCAAAGGGGGTCATTACCTGTTGAGAAAGGCGTTTCCAAACGCGTTGAGTTTACGGAAGGGCTTCTTGGGGTCCACCACCAGGGCATTTCCAGGGATCACCCCGTCCTGCTCGCCGTGCATCACCGCGATGAAAGAGTCCGTGGTGGGCTCCGGGCCGATGCGCATACCGGGGAAGTCCTGCTCCATCAGGTGCCGGATGAAGGTGGTTTTACCGGTGGAGTACTGCCCCACCAGAAGGACCATCGGCTTGTTGTCGAAGTCGGCATCTTCCAGCGCTGGGGAGTGGAAGTCATGGAATCGATACGTGTCCTCCAGCGGGAACAGTTTGGTTCGGTAAAGCTTCCGCAGCCCCTCGGATACGTTCTGGAACAGCTCGGGGTCCTTCTTCAAGGTCTTTCTGAACATGGTTGCTGGTGGATTACCCTTCGGTTGACACAGCTGTGCCGGTCTCCCCTTCAACGTTTGTCTAATTAAGTTGAGAGAGGTCTCTCAAGCCGACCGGAGGTTAGCTGCCTGTCTGCTGGAGTCGAACAACGACTGGGGCGAGGTCTGGAAGTTTAGTCCCCACCCTCTCCTCTTGCTAGCTTACAAGTGGACGCGCGCGCTACTCGTTTATGGGAGGGCTCCACACAGCGACTTTACGTTAATTTAACACAGCCGCAGATACAGCCTTTAAAACACTCAGCTCTTTAAGGTAGCTTACGTGAAAATTCACCGAGGCAGTAAATAGGGGGGAAACCGTTAAAACCTTATAAACGCCGCTTCTCTGTAGGTAGCCTGCCGGCTGTCAGTTAATAATCCTCCATCACAGGAAGTGTTACTTCAAAATAAAAGTCTAAACGAAACGAAAAGCGCCACTTCCGTCTACGTCATACATACTTTCCGGCTCCACAGTGTTAGAGCAGACAGTTAAAGATGCAATTTAACCGCACATATAATAATATATAACACAAAGTGTTATGTATTGTTAGTAGATGAAAAACGATGTAAAACTCAGTAGGTGACAAAAAAAAATTAATCTGAATTTTAAATAAACAGCAAAATAAATATTATCTTAATGATTGACAAGACAATTCAATACCGTCTGCCTTTTTCTGCAACATAAGTGTAGAATAATAAATGTGATGCATGTCATTTTTAAATGATTTCCCCACTGTGATCACATCAAAAGCCTGTTAAAAAAAGCAAAAAACAAACCTTGACATTTTTTTCTTATTTAAGTATTCATGTACATGGACTGCTTTTCAAGAACCACATATACCCTTTTATAGAATCTGTTATATTAGTCTGAAACAGCTCTGTTATAATTTGGTCCTTCTTGCATTTCAAGCCAGATTTTTACTACGATTAAAGTTTATTGAGTTTTTAAAACTTTTTACACAATAAATACTATATTATATAGAATCCTCAATAAATGGAAAGTAATACAATTTTGAATATAATAAGTAGTAAATAATGAAGCATTTAGAGGTTGCCTGACACCTTAAAGCTAAGCTAATGTGAGTTATATGTTTGTGATAAACAGTGTATTTGCACTGATGGGTACATGTTTGTCTATTACCTTATCTTCGGGTTTGAACATTTCCCAAGTGAGTTGTATATCCCCATGGTGTGTTGTGGGTTTTCAAGTCCAGCCATGCTGCAATGCACTTTGAACTTTCCAGAAATGTTACTTTTTATTTATAATTTTTTCATTTCTTTACTGTGCTTTTTAATTTTGCATATTAACAATCAAATCTATTGGATTTAATTTGGTTCGACTGTTGATCAGTTAGAGTGATAATTTTTGGTTTTAATGAAAATATAATATATGAGAAATCTTAAATGTTCTTTTTAGCTTGTCAGAGATTATTTGTGTACCGTATAAATGTTTGAAAAAAAAAACCATTTTATTATAGTATTCCTTGTCTCATTAACACTGAACTTTCTTAATTTGACTAAGGTATTGCTCTTTCTCTCTTCTTAAAGGTCCATTGTCAAAAATAACTGATATATCAATCTGTTTTTATCTGCATATTTATACACATCTTTATCTGTGGATATGTGCTTAATATATTTTTAAGGTTGTAATATTAGTTCTAAGGTAATTAAAGACATTTTGAAAGATCTTGGAGCTGTAGATTAGATTATTTTAGCTCACATTTGCCAAAATTTATGCCCAATATGGATTTGTTGTTTTGTTTTTGTTTTTATGTTGTATATTGTCCACTTTGGATGTCTTTGGGAATTTTGTGTCAGTGCTCTGTTGTCTGTGCGTTGAGTAGTATAACAGAATTTTCCGTCATATATCTTATCTCTGTCTGCACAGTGGCGTGGTGTGTTACAATAGATTGTGGGTTTAAATTGCAGCAAGAAGGTCATGGGTTTCAATCCTGGCTAGTGTGTTTCTGCATAGAGTTTGCATGTTCTCTCCAGGCATGCGTGGATTCTCTCTGGGTAAATTGCATATAGTTTTCACCCATGAACTGCTGGATATGAATACCAGTTCCCTTTTAGCCGAACAGACAGATGGTGGAATAAGGATGTTTTATTTCTATTTTCTTTGTGACCATATCTAGGCTGTATTTCTGGGAAGGGGTGAAGGGATCTGTTACACTCTGTAGTCATTGAGCTTCAGTAAGTCGTATCCTTTTGCATTTAGTTTCAAGAAGCTCCTTTAAACTATTCATTGGCTCTATAAGAAAGTTTCATTTCACTTTTGGTTTTAATTCTATTTTTACAGTAACTAAATCCTTTCAGTCAACCACTAATGGGAATCGGTTTCTTTGGGGGATTTTGCACCTATGGAAAAACATTTCAATATTTATTCCAAGAAACCTTTCACCATTTATAAGAACTGACCTTATAATCTATTTGACCTAACTGATCTTATTATAACTGAACTTTTTGTCATTTATCATGCCTTCTTTGGCGGAATTAACTGCCATCAAGGATTTTTGGTCACTGGAAATGAGGCTTTTATATCCCCACAGGAGAACTTTGTCCCTCACTTTACTCTGGGATTGTATTAGAATTAGTCCAATAAGAAGTGTTTCCAGTATGATCTGCCTTTTTAAGGTCATTTCACAGTTAGATACTAAATTGGACTTTAAAAAAGCTTAACCCCTTCATTTTGCTTCTTGGGAGCCATTCAAAGGTGGACTGGCTGCCTAAAAATATTGTGCTCAAGACTTAGGTTGGAATCTTAAGGAGGGACTTTTTCTATCAGAAAGCAGAATTCATGGTTTGATCAGGAAATCTAAGCAGGAAATCTGCCCCTTATTAACATATTCCCACCTCCATGCTTGTCCCTGGCTTTGGGATCATTAAAATACTTTGGGGTTCTCGAGAAAGCTGACTTTAACAAAGGTAAGTAAGTTCTGCAGTGCCCCTTGGTGTTGTTCTTCATGCTCGTCGCTCATTCATGAACTTCTGCATGAGTCTTTAATGTGCTGCCTAAGTATTTGTGGCAGGACAGAAAGGTAAGGAACCATTATTTATTATAGCATGTTAGGATCTCTGGGGTCCGTAAGTCTTGAAAACAATTGTCAGATCAGCCAAATAGTTAGAGCTTCTTGTCCAGGTCTGAAATCTCTAGGCTAATTCCTCTTGCCAGACTCACATGAATCTCTGTCCGCATATACTGACAGCTTTATTTGGTGGAGGGTTTTGTTTATATTTATGTTCAGGTGAATTTAGTTTGTTTGGAAATTGGAGTTTGGTTTGGTTTGATGTTAACCAGTCTCTTTTTGTGTGTATTTAGGTGATTTATTTATTGTTGTTGGTCAAATTTGTCTGAAATAAATTCCTTTTCGTTCGTTCGTTCATTCATTCATTCATTCATTCATTCAGACTCAGAATAAGTGATTGTCTTAGGCCTGCAACTGATCAGAGCAGGACATTTTTAATTAGAGTAGTCACTGACCATGTTTGGGTAGCTTGCTTACCCCTCAATAAATACAATGACAATATTAAACCACTTGTTTTGTTTTGTTTTACTGGACTTATCCTTGCCAAACATGAAACCCCTATTACTAATCTGAAAAAATTCAGAGTAAAGAAATGAGCAACATAATAAATCTGACATCTTTTTTACAGAACTGTAGATTCATTACACAAAGACTGACTCATTTAAGTATTAATTGTCTGTTAATGTTGATGATTTACACAATCTAACAGAAAATTCAGTTTCTTCTACAATAAAGTAGATGTAAAGAATCCATATAATTTACACATATCAGTTAACTTGAATTACTGATATAAAATAACTCTTTGATCACGATAAAATTTAGTTAAATAAATGTTGAAGTACTTTATATCATTACATAAAGCTATTTTCTTCTGTAATATGAATAATGACCTTCAGCTCAGTCCGTGGTTTAGATCTGGTTAGTCAGCATAATGAAAGAAAGGAAAACAGACTCACACTTCATTTGGATTAACCCAGAAATTTTTATTTTATAGTCAGCATCAAACCATAGATTGAAGTAAGAAGTTGACCAACTGTAAAAGGAGTGAGCAGGAGAGCTGTTGTGGGGTTTTGATGAAAAGAGGTGTCTCTCCACAGATAACAGCAGCTCCACTGGAAGTCAGAGCTTTTTTCCAAATGGAGATGCTGTTACAGCTGGTGAGACCCACAAAAATAACACAGCTGATAGGAACAATCAAAAACACTTCCAGATATGGCCGCCCAGTGTTCAGCTGACATCTACTGATTACTGAGCTGTAGCAAGAGCCTCTGTTTTGCTTGAACGGGCAATATGTGCCATTTAAGTATTATCTTGAATATAACATTTGGTCTTTTAAGTCTCTCATTAAGTCTAACTTAGGGAAAGTAATAAAATGCTGCCCTCTTTTGTTCAACTCACCAATCACATCAAGTCACAGCATTTGACTGCCTTTCTTAAATTCAAACCTACATGAGATAACGGCCATACCTGATACAATATCATAGACATATCATAAACCTAATCTTGGTTTTTACAATGTCCAAGATTACATTTTACCCTTTGACTCCAATAAAATCAGAGTTATTCACTTAATAAACCTGTTAAAAGTGTGAAGAGCCAGATGCTGTTTGGCAAAAAACAAGTTCAATTCCAAGTGTATTTAAATCAAAATGTGATTTTTAGGTATTAAAAATAGTTTTTCACGGGCGTTATGGACTTTTTTCCACTTGCATGCTCCATCTTTATCAGCCCTAAAATGTGACTTGACATGTCCTTGGTGAACTTTGACTTTAACCCGTCCCCTGTAAAGAAGCAAAAACAGAGCCATAAAGTAATTTCAAGATAAACTAAAAGACCTTTATCCCCATCATTGTCCTCAACTTTGACCACTTTTATGTCTTTTATTTGTTTCAAAGAGTATTTCAAATGGGATGCTTTATGACCATAAATAAAAGTACATCATTCTGAGATCTGATGTAAAAATCATCTAACATATTTTTAACACTTTTTCCTAAACAACAGTACAAAATCAAAAGAAATATGATGCCAACAATTCTGTGCATATGAAACTGTCATGCATAGACTTTGTTTTTACCAAGAAGCAAACAGCTAACCCCAGCAATGTTTAAAAAATTGGTTTTGCTAAGTTACATTTTATTTTAATAACCTTATTGTAGAAGCTGTAACTGATCTCTTTAAAATTATATTCAAAATAAGCATTTTATTGCTTAGATAGCAAAAAAAAAGTACCCCAGCTAACCACGAAATTTTGATTTGACAAGAGAAATGAAAACAAGTTCATAGTTAATTAGAGTTTTTCTGTACGGCAGTATGAACTCTACCTTTACGGACAGAATATAAATCTATTGCATATCAGTTTTACGAATAACAAGAAATGAACAAAGCTCATACTTACCTAGTTAAACCTGTGGGCAAATAGTAGAGGGACAAAAAAAAGCAAAGAGTTACAATTAAAAGAAGGAAAATCAGAGAGCGGCTGAAAGAAAAACCACCTAAGGAGAGAAAAGACTGAGTAATGGTTCGACTAGTGACTGAGAGCTGCTTAAGACTGCGTGGGGGAGAGTAAAAATTAATCATTACTCTTACTGTAAATATGTAACAGACCCAACCTGCACATAAAAGTCAGCAAATTATATAGTTTGAGCATCGATGAACATGCCATGATGGGATCAAATCTTACTGGCCAATAGAAACTGAACCCCTGCAATAAACTAAGGATTATCCACACAATGGAACCCTTTTCTTTGCCTGCACATGAGTATTCAAGGGTAAAATATGAACTTTACACCAAACTATAGACCTTACTCGGGTTTCTGAAACTATGCACATTTTGGAAACCCAATGAGCATTTAGAAAACACTTTAAAACAAATCTATAATCCAATAAATACTGAACTTCATTGATCTCACATTGGAGAAATTAACCTCTGCATTTAACCCATCCCCTTGGGGAGCAGTTGGCTGCCATCGTGGGGCACAATCAGGGGTTAAGGGTCTTGCTCAGAGAGCTAGAGTGGCAGTCTGTTGGGAGTGAGTTTCAAACTCACAACCTCAGGATTCTAAGCTCTATGCCCTGACCACTAGGCCGCCACTCCCCAATGCTGTATTGTGCCAGCTTTAAGGAGTGCAAGATTTGTAAGACCAGAGATTCTCAAATTCAACATTTTGGCTCAGTATGTAGTTTGAGTGTTGTAGAGCAATTCCTTGGATTTAAAAGAAAAAATATATATATACATATTACATAAATAATATAGATAGATAGATAGATAGATAGATAGATAGATAGATAGATAGATAGATAGATAGATAGATAGATAGATAGATAGATAGATAGATAGATAGATAGATAGATGGAGCACTCCAAAACCAAACCATTCTCCCTGATATGCTGAGAAGGTGCTTGTAAAAGTATCCATCGCCCTTGAACCATTTTTTCCATATTTTCTTATCTTAATTTGACAGCCAGCTATAAATTATATTACAGGGTTTTATGTTATCATTGGCCTTCATAGTCCATTAGGGAAGTGCAAAATTAAAGAGCCTCTCCTTTTTTAATTATTTATCTATGGTAATACGTGTGATGTTTGCAGACATTATTATTTAAAATAACGTAAAAATAAAAGGTTTTTGGAAAGTGAGAAAATAAATGCTTCGTCTCTTTTATCCCTTTTGGCTTTCCGTACTACTTGGACATTGCAGCAGGCGGATGTGTAAGTAGCTAACAACGCTGCTCTCATTTACATTCTGCCGTATATATTGAGGTCCTGAAAAAGTACCCATATGAATCACACTTTTATGTGTAATATACGAAGTTGATGTTTAGCAAGAACGGTTTATTGAAAGTGTACGTTATTCAATTTAGACAGTAAGTTTGGCTTCGTTAGCGGCAATCGTGCTAACATTAGCTCTTAGCATTTTTCCAGCTGTAAATAGCATGATAACAAACAACTGCTGCTCAGCGCATGTTTTTACATTTGCTATTGCTTTTTTTCTCTAGTAATGTTATGAATGATTTTACTTTAAATATTATACTCTTAAGGGGAAATACTTATTTGTTGTTTTCCTGTAGATCAAAATGGCAGAGCTAACAACACTAGAGAGTCTTTTGGAGATGGGCTTTGGAAGAAACAGAGCGTGAGCAATGTCCCTCACTCCAGATATGATTGATTTTAACTATCTAGAAGTTGACTCATTGTAACATGTCCTTTATCTAATTTCCTCAGAGAGAAAGCTGTGGCTAATACTGGAAACCAAGGGATAGAGCAAGCAATGGATTGGTGAGACATAGTGGTTATTGTATTACTTGTTTCCTTCCCCTCCTATTTTAGTCATACTTTCTTGTATCATGCCTCTCCTGTTATGGTTACTTCTCATCTCATGTTTTCCCTCAATCCTTGTTATCCTTCATTCCTTCTTGGGACCTTCTGTTTTCAATAGAACAATAATCAATCTAGCCTGCCTGATCCACCCTGTAGGATATAAATATAAATGCCTTTTAAAGCATTCAAATCCTATTGGCCATTTACTCGTTGTCACCATTTAACCAGAAGCTTTAAAGTATTCTATTCAGATTTTATGTAACCGTGTGACAAAGTGCGCCCATTGTAGGCATAAATGAGAAAAAACATATGCCTCCTTAAGTATTTCTTCTGTTATCTCTTTTGAAAATCAAACAATGAAAACATTAGTGTAAAAATCTGTTTTAAATACGGTTGTATGTGTATGTATATATATATATATATATATATATATATATATATATATATATATATATATATATATATATTTATATACAAGTAGTCGATTGATGAAGCAATCTAAAGTTGTCTGACTTTGTTAACTGGCTAACAATTAATTGATAAGTACTTTGTTAAAAACTTGAGGTTTTAAAAATCAACAAGATTATTCTATGAAAAGAAAGGTAAAATAATATATCACAATATGCCAAGGTATATTAAGAATCAATTATTATGCCAGCTGGATTAAATACTGATTAAGCAAAAATATGCTTTATTACGCGTTTTTAAAGGTATCTACTGGATATACAATAACAGGTACCTATTAGATAATAATAAATAAATGAACAAAACCCATGCAACAAATATGACTTCCAGTGTATAACGATGTATAACTATTATTAAAATACAGGGCATTTTACTCTGACATGCTATTAGACTATGTTGAAGTGGATGGTAAGTGTGATATAGTTCTCTTTTTCTCAGAAAAATAACTTGAATGTGACCAAAGTGATAATAAATGGGGAAAAAATAAATGAAAATGAAAAAAATGTCACCCATGCTTTAACATAATGACTAAAATAAACTCATGAAACAGATCTGGACAAAAATGACGAGACCCTTAACTTACGGTAATACAACCTTAAAGAAGGACACTTCAGAATGATCCAATGTTTTCCTATTAGCCATTCTTGGGCGTTTTTAGCTTGAGATTTCATTGAACCCCACAGAGATTCAAACACCCTTTCCCAGATGAAGCAAAGCAGCCCCACAGGATAACAGAGTCTCCTCCGTGTTTCACAGTGGGGACAGTGTTATCTTGTGGATATGCTTCATTCTTCCATCTGTGAACATAGAGCTGATGTGCCTTGACAAAAAGTTAAATTTTTGTCTGATCTGTCCAAAGGATTTTTTCTCTTCAATTGGCAAAGTGAAGTTTGGTTTAATCTTTGAATAGTTTTTGGCAGTACATCATAATGGTACATATATGGTATTATCATAGACAAGAGCACAGTGCCACCGGTTTCTTTCATGCTGAGCTGTTGTTTTGGGTGTGTTTTATTCAGGTTAATGGAACACGAGAATGATCCAGACATCGACGAGCCTTACGTTCCTCCTGTGGGGAATGTTTTAGGAGGAGAGGCAGAATGTCAGGAGCCGACAGCAGGAGATACAGCTTCAGGTTGGTGCATGTTTTTGTTTTGTTTTTGTGATGGTGGGTCATAATAAATAAATGTTTGAGATTTCATGTTGTTGACATGTTTTCTCTTCAGTAATGGCAGAGGGAGATGACATGTGCTGCGAAGACCCGGAGGGTTCAAAGCGGCCAATGACAGAGGAGGAGAAACGTGAACAAGTCAAAAGGTCGGCACAGATGCCAGGCGACTTTTAGTGATGCAACAGGGTTGAATTTATGCAGTTGTTTTTTTTTATGATCTGGTATATCGCTGCTCTCTCAGGCTGGAGGAACTGATGCGAGTGAAGCAGGCAGAGAGAAGAGAGCGTGAGCGAGCTGAGGAGGTGGAGCGGGAGAAGCAGCGAAGGAGGCAGGGCCAGGAGTTGCAGCAGATCCGGCAGAAGATACAGGACGATGAAATGAAGAAACTTGCAGATCAGCGAAGGAGAGAGAAGATGGAAGACAAACTGGCCAGGTTAGCTCCTTGAAATATTGAATATTAGACGTTTGAAGTGACAAAAGAAAATCCATTTTGTTAGCAGTCAACACTTAAATGAGCTAAGATCCTGAAGGATCATAAGTCACCATTATGCATGTAGCCAGATTTGATTGACTTAGCAAGATGCTATCTATAATGATGCAGTTTTTGTTTATTACTCATAATAGTGCAGTTTGGTGAAAATTTCTTGCCTTTAAAGTTGTTTTACAGTCTTTTCTTTTTTGTCCCTGTTAGGCAAAGGGTTAAAGACAAAATTGCACGAGACCGAGAGGAGAGGGCACAAAAGGTACCGCAGACACAGAGCTGTATATTTATTCCTTCTGTCTGTAATTCTCACCCGTCTGTTTCTTTTCTCTGGTTTAGTTTGGAGGTGGTGCAGCATCAAGCACAGTGACGCCGACCCAGCCGACCCCACCCAGTCCGTCGTCGCCCACCGGCCAGGGGCCCCCACCCACAAAGAAGGAATATGATGAGTCCAGGATACAGGTGCCAGTTGTTTTGGGTTTTAAGATTTGCCTGTTCGCTTTCCTACCTTTTTTGTGTTTCATTGAATCCATCTATAAATCATAAAATAAAAATAAATTAAATAAATGATCTTCCATAAATTTATGGTAAATGTTGATAATTATTTAAAGTAAAATAATAGTAGAACACTGAGAACTATAGAAAATTGAGTGTGGATCTTGTACACCGGATGCGGGTAGGGAGTGGGTTTGTTGTCTTTGCCCCTGCCATTTATCTTTTTTTTCATGAAAGAGATTCTAAGGAATGACGTTTCTTCCTGTCTAATTTTTTTTAGCTTGGATGCAGTGAGATAATTTCAGATGGTTATAATGCGTCTAACTTCACTCTTCCTTTCATCCTATTTTTCAAAGGTTCGTCTGCTGGACGGTTCCACCATCAACACGGTCTTCAAGGCCCAGGAGCCGCTAGCGGCAGTGCGTGTCTACGTTCAGGTGAACGGCAACACACCTGAGGGTCAGGACTTCACACTGCTGTCTCCCTACCCGCGTCACGTTTACACTGAAATGGACATGGAGAAACCTCTTAAGGAGCTGGGTGAGTGCTTGAATAGAAGTCAGTTTGAGTTAAAATGGTTCTAAATTAGAAATTTTAGCTAGCTTTTAGCTAGCAATACGTAAAAGCCTTTTTTTTTTTTTTGCAAAAAAAAAAAAAGTTTTCCCCTGGAAACTTTGCTCAAATGTTCAAAATTTCACAAGCAGCAGAGGCCGGAGTTGGAAAAACTTAACTTTTGCTGCTTAATGCACTTCATCAACCAATCAGAGAAGCTGATCTGGGAGCTGGCAAGGAGACAGACACAGCACTGCTGATGCAGAGAGCTGTGATCACTCCTCTGAAACAGTTTATTAATGCCTAAAGGCAGCAAAATGTTTGCTTTAATTAGTCTGGTGCCTGCAGTAAGTACCATATACCTAAAAACATCTACTCCAGCTGCATCCCACCTCGGAATGTAGGAAATAGCGTTTTAGAGAGTCTAAATTTCAACATTTTCCAGGGGGAGGATGCCCTAATGATGTGATACATAATGGTGTACACCCAATGAATTTCTTGCTAAAAGCCTGATCATGTCCGTTACCCCTTTCACAGAGGCTGAAAAAAAAAACAGTTTAAACCTGGGAACCATCAGCTTTAAGTAGCAGTGGAAACAGATCAGTGACGCGTGTCTACCCGGGTCAAATTACTCCGTTAGTGGCCCCCGTTAAAATCACCTCTGCTCTGATCGGCATGCAGTGGGAACATGCCGAGAAGATGGAAGACAAACTGGCCAGGTTAGCTCCTTGAAATATTGAATATTAGACGTTTGAAGTGACAAAAGAAAATCCATTTTGTTAGCAGTCAACACTTAAATGAAAATCCTGAAGGATCATAAGTCACCATTATGCATGTAGCCAGATTTGATTGACTTAGCAAGATGCTATCTATAACTGTCCAGACCCGGGTTGACCTGCTAAATTACGTGACTCCATTGAACGCAATGTACAGACGTCAACACGCTGCGCCAGTCATGTCTGATCTAACAAGCTAAAACAGCAGTTTACCTTCGATAAACATGGCGCAGCTCTGGTGAGAGGGATTCGGATGGATACAAGAGCGAAACAATGCAGCACATTTACTACGCACTGACTCCCTTAAACGTTTATCTCCCTTTTTTTACTTTCTTGATTTCTGCCGCACTGTTGACACATCGTTAACTCAGTGAGATGGTGTCGCCAGATGCGCAGCTGGTAAGCTTTGGACAGAGGCCACGAAGCTTACCAGTGAGGGGTTAGACACTGCCTATTTTTGCCAGTGGGAAGGGCGCCAAATACTGATCGTTAGCGGGTCAACCTATGTTTGAAAAACATGCATTTCTAGTTGATAGGGAGCTTTAACCTCATGATGGATTGATTGCTGAGGCCAACTAATCATCTTGTCTTTGCTCAGGTTTGGTACCTTCAGCTGTGCTGGTTGTTGCCAAAAAGGGAGAAGGATCTGCTCTGTGAACCTACCTCACCACGACGTTGACACCAGAACCGCCTGAAACAGATCGATCCGGGAACCGAACTGCTATCTGCTAGTATCACCCAGTTTGCTGAGCTAATGCAGAGACGAGGTGAAGCTGCATTCAGACATGTGAGCTCGTCAGATACTGATGTGGGTTTGGTTTCTAAAACTGACTGAATGCAGCTTCAGTTCTGCAGCAGGACCTGTTAGACTGCTTTAGGCATTGCACTGGACCTTGAACTCAGCTGATTGAGCTGAAGATAGCTAGCTTCTGGCTGGTACTTCTTCGAGGATCTCTGGTTTCCTTAAGATGAAAAAAGATATATATATACACACATAAAAAATCCTTCAGTTTTAACTCGCCCCTTGAACTGCTAAGTGGTTCTGAAAGGGCCTTAAGTTTAATTCCTGTAATCTTCCTGTTTTTGTGCCATTTACTTTGACCTTTTTTTTAACAAGTTCAGATTTGCTGAAAGCCGTGTTCACAAGAAAACGGACAATAAAGCTGGCTGGGAAAACTGAATTGATGCTTTGTGTTCTATTAATATCCTGAACATTTTGAAATCTGATTAGTTATTAGTTGAAAATGATGCTATCTTATTCAAGGTTTGTCTTCCTAAGAGTATGCCATGTGGACCTGTTCTATCTTAGTTTGCTGTGTAATCTGGAAGTTAATGAATATAAAGAAACAAATACGAAACTTTTGTGATTCCCATAAAGGGTAGTCCCCAAATAAATAACAGGCTCCACTGATGAACACCTACAATTAGAAGAAAATTGTCCTGTTTTGAGTATTAACATGCTTTTGTGATGCATTTCATAAAAATCAAGAAATAAGACTTTAAATTGCGGTTTCCTGGAAACATTAACTGAGTTTTAACTTTCTATGAAAAGTCAAATGAAGAGCAATGTGGAATCAAAATGTTCCCACTTGACCTTATGGAATCTGCTTTGAGATTTTATTACTAATGGGAAGCCATTCGTATCATTACCGGTTTGCTTATTTAAGACGTATGAGTGGATTTTTTTGCACACAAAAAAAACAAACCAAGCCCTTATCAAAACTCACTAGCTTCGACTTTAAATGCATCACTGAAGGACTTTGCTTTTTGACTTCAACTGTCCTGCAACGGCTAGAACACGGTAAGCATTTATTTAGCCAATTATTTCTGCAGATGAGATGACTCACTACACCCCCTTGTGGTGCTTCTAATCACAAACTACTCAGCCTCACAAAGAGATTATTCAGAGGGATGCTACCGGTATATTCTGGAAATTGATCGACTAAAAATAGGTGTCTTTTATGTGAGAGATAATGCTGCATTATTCACCAATATGGATTAATTTCAAAGCATTTTGTATGAGGAGCTCTTGGTGACTCTGAAGTAACATGGACACAATCATGGCAGGAATGATCAGACCACCCTTTGATTCTTCGGTTTCTGATCCTAAAGGTATTTTACCAGAAGAATACAATCAACACAGACAAAAAAGTAAAAAAAAAAAATCAAAAAAAGCAAAGAGAAATATTTTTGTGAAGGACCGTAAGCTGAAGATGATCCTTAAATTCAGTTTGGAAATCATCTGGATGAATAAATTAGGTCATCTGGAGAAAAATAACCACCACTTGTTACTACAGTTGCTACAAAACTCTCCTCTGCTTTCGTAAACATTAGTGAAACAACCAAACAGACTCTAGTATTTAACATTTAAACTGGGAACAATCCACTGCATTGGCTTGGCTACATTAGAAGCTGGACTACCTTCGTGCAACAGTTGTCCACTGGTAAGTTTGTTCACATGGAGTTGAACAGAATAAACTATCTAAAAGATTCAAGATGTGACTGTAAAACACCTTTTTTGTACATTAAAAAACAGACTCCAGAATGGTAAAAATGTCATTCATACAAAGCAGAGTTGGAGAAAACATGGGCACATGGGACCATGTGGTAACAAATATGAAAATTTTAATTAAAATCGAGTGACTATACAACTAATGGTTGCCATGGTTTCCCTTTCCCACCTTCTCCTCCTCATTAGAGACAGCATTAGATGAGTTTTTCCTCCACCGACCCTGAGCTGAAGACACACAGAGAGATGCTGGGATTATCTGAGTTCAAGTCTGTCTTTCAGAAGCATCCAGCTGTTTCCAGAGACGCAGTAGTTTGGTTTAACTGGGCGGATAGTAGGTCTGATTGTAGTTCCAGGTGTTCTGGTAGCCATAGCTGCCGTAGTTGCTATAGTTACCGTAGCTGCCATAGCCTGGTTGCTGAAGAGCGGAGAAAGCAAATCAAGGTTAATAAAAAGGTTTTGGACATTAACATGAATTTATGATTTCTAAAATCCAGGAAAGAGAGCTTTGATCGTTTTAATGTCCAAATTGTCACTTCCACCTGGTACCAGCTGCTGTATGCTCCATATCCGGCCTGTGCGCTGGCGTCGGTGCCCGCCACCGCCGTGCTACTGGGCACCTGGGACATGCTGGATGCCGTCTGTGCAGCTGTGGAAGAGCCGTCGTCTGTTTTGCTTATTTTCTCTGGATCCTCGTCCCTTAGGAAGCAAAATGATACAAATAAACCTTTAAGTCTAAACAGCTCTGAGGTCAACGAACGAACCATCTAACTCCAGGATGTTTACATGAACACCACCTGGTTAAATGCATTTACAACCCTGGAGTTTTTACCCACGTTTTAAATTTATACAAGAGTTAAAGCACTTTATTAGGATTTTATGACAGAAACAGTAGCAGAAAAGTTGGAGAAATGTGATGCATGGCTTTAAAAGACAAAAAGCTGAAAAGCATGAAGTTCATGTGCAGATTTAGCCTTACGAAGTCGGTACCTAGCAAAAATATCTTTTGCTGCAATTAAAGCTTCAAGCGTTTGGGGGTTAGGTCCCAGCACCAAGATTAATGCATCAATCGTTATAAGAACTTTAACTGATGTTTGCCGATCCAAACATTGTTTTCATTATTAGAGAGGGGAAGTGTTTCCACTTTTGTTTCAATGAAGATTCATTTGAGTTACTTTTAAGCCATACAAAAATATTTCCTAACGTAACCCTAGTCCTGTCGTATTTTTAAATTGAAGGCCGCATTTTCACCGCATTTTGTTATTTTTATTTGTGTTGTTGGGGATTTGAACCATAAACACTTAGTCATGGCCTGAGAGCTTTTTAAACGACTCTAACGGATATCACTATGAAAAGACCAGAATATTCCAATAAAGTTTGAGGTCCAGCCCATTTTAAACATCAATGTAAAAGTTTTGCTCTAAATAACTAAAGAACTAGATCTGGGCCATTTCAACACATAAATATGCTCTGATCTCAAGCCTTCCAGTTAATTTATGGCGATATGTTGATATTCATTCTGCTGGAAGGTAAAGATTCATCAAAGTCTCAACACAGGGTAATGTACAGCATTCACCTTCCATCAGTTTTTCATGAAACTATCAATTTTTCGGGACATCTTATATAATCTTAATACAAAATGTGAAAAGCACCAAGAGGAGAAACTTTTTAAGCCTTTTAACAACTGTTAGAAGTGTCGGACTGCAAGTAGCAAACTTAAAGTAAATTCTTTATTGAAGAGCTTTGTTTTTTCATAATATGTGAAAAACTTTAAGGATAATACAGGAGGGTGTTAAATCCTGCTTGGCATTTCTGCCTGTCGCACCTCCTCCGGTGCCCATGGGTCAGCTGCAGGGTCATCAGCCAGGAACCACCATTCACCAACGTTTCGCCCCTTTAATCCTGGAACGTCTCCTGGTGGCGGGGCAGTGACAGGGACGTCTCCCTGTCACCCCCTGCAGCTGAAAGATGTTATTCCCTGCAACTGTTATCTGGGGGTTAGGTGTTATTCCCCCAGGTTCTGTCCTTCCTCCGCAGCCAGAGCCAAAAGCTCCCTTTCTCCGCCTCCTCAGCCAGTTCCTTTGTTGCCTTCCTCAGCCTTCCTCCCCTGACTCCCACGTCTTTCAGGAGGCGTATGGTCGACAACCCTGTGAAGCCTCGGCATCCGACCTCTACTGGGTAGATGGTAGTCTTCCAGCCCGCCTCCCGGCACTCTGCAGCCAGCTCTGAATACTTGGCCTTTTTTCGCTCAAAGGCAGCTTCGATCCCTTCCTCCATTGGCACAGTGAGCTCAATGAGGGCTACCGCTCTTGCCTTTATGGACCACGCCACAATGTCTGGTCGGAGAGATGTGGTGGTGATTTCTGTGGGAAACTGAAGCTTCCTGTCCAGGTCAACCTTCATGCTCCACTCCTGGCCAGTAGTGAAGGGCCTTGAGGTTTCTCTTTCTCCGATCTTTAAAAAGCCTGACCTTCCGATTCCCATTTTGACCGACAGTCTGTGTCTTTATAACCTACAGCCTGTGGTTATATAAGATCAAAAGACACCTTCAATATTTCAATCTTATCCAACTATTGCCCTGTGATAGACTGGTGAACTGTGTAGAGTTTATAGCTGGAGATGGGTACCAGCACCCCTCGCTACCCTGCTTGGGATAAGCATGAAGGAAAATGGATGTATGGCTCAGATTGGTAGAAAAGGTTGGCTTCGCAGACAAGTATCGGCCAATCACCCATCTCCCAAAATCAAGAACATTTTCAAACTGGTTTCCTTTTCTCCTACACTGTTTACATGCTGATCGCTGCTGCACTTAATAATGGAAATGTTAATTTCACTGTTGTAAGCCATAAGCAATGTAATGTCGTTTGTTGAAAACAACATTTAAGTTTGTCTAAGTCGGAAGTGTGGCCATAATTTGATGTTAGTTTTTTTTGCCTCCTTTCTCACCCGTTCTCTGCCTCCCTCTTTGTTCCTCCCAGCTCGTCCAGCAGCTTCTGATGCACGTCATAGACGGACAGCACCCTGCAGAGGAAGCAGAGTTCCATGTTTAGCAGGAACTCCTTTAGCAGAACCGTTCTGGATGATCAGAATCTGCAAACAAATCTACGAGGTTTAACCTTTGAACAGAGTTGCTGTATTCCTCTGTGAACTGCAGGCCTCTCTGTGACAGAAGCAACTTGGTTTGTGAGGTGAGAGGAGCCTCCAGGGCTCGAGTCACGCACTCGTTCACCGCCTCGGCTGAAGCCCAGGGGTCCCCAGACAACTCCAGGTCCAACAGGTTCAAGTGTAGCTTTTCATTATCCTGAGGGGGAATTAATTCAAAGAGAAATGGAAACAGATTTTATTATTTTTTTAAAACAGCCAAAAAAACAAGTTAATTTAAAGTTTGGTTAAAATAATCCCAGTTTGGGAGGTATAACAAAAATATAAACCCATACTAGTGCAGTTTAGCTACATCAACTGCAAGGCACAGTTTTCTGCCCAATTCCATCTCTAATCTCACCGGGCTTATTTCCAGGGCTTCCTGTAAAACCCTGCGGGCGCCGTCAGAGTTTCGGACCACTTTAAGCAGCAGACGAGCCAGTTTGATGGAGTAGAAAGCGTGCAGCGTCGGCCTCTCTTTGGATTCAGCCACTGCCTCTCGCAGCAGAGCCTCCGACTGCTCCAGCTGCC